GGATAGCAAAGGGCGGGTTTGAGAATCAGCTCACATAGCTGATTTTCAGGGCGCCTCCCGGCGCTGGAGGCGGCCATGTATCGAGGAATGGGCCCCTCGGTGGGGCCGAAACCAGCTGCAGGCAGCAAATTTCGTACCCCCCCCTTTCCCTATCCCCTCCTTTCGTCCGGCCCGAGCCCGACATGAGGGGAGGTGCCGGCCGATGGCCGAACCTCCTCGTTCTGGGCAGCCCCACGCGCGCCCGAGCACGCCCGTTCTGCGCGCCCCGTCTCCGGGCCTGTGCAACCGAGGTCGGGAGGGGGATATATAAACGAAAAGACGAAGCAATCGGGGGATGACGATTAATGCAAAAAACGGGAGAGAACGATTAAAAACATAGTTTTCTGCCCTTTCTGCACAACTTTCTGACTGGAGGAGAACGATTGCAAAAATAGTTTTCCAGCCCGCGGCCGGTTTTTTCTAATCGTCATCCCGGGCGCCGCCGCGAGAACACGACCCCTGGTCATTTATTAATCGTCATCCTCCAATATCGGGGGGGATGAGACGAACCCAGACTCCCTCGGGTCATGAAAAGATCACGACGGGAGGTTGTTCCACACTTTCCGGCGCTGGAATCCCTCACCAGCCCCCGGGATCGTTAAAAGGCGACTCAAGATAAGAAACCAATCCCGGGGAATGCGTCGAGAACTCCGGGGACCGACGTCATGGAAAATCATGACGTCGGGGGGCCTGGGAAGCCAGGGCGACGATACCATCGGGTGATGATCCGTCGAGAATCTCCGAAGTCCGGCACCTCTGGAAGTTGTCTCGGGCGCCGCGTCCGTCTCAGAGCGTTCTGGAATGCTCTGATGAAGGGGCCCTGGGACACACAAATAAATTCAAAAAATAACCAGATTCCCGATAGGTTCCTACATTTTCTGGGTTTTTGTCTTCGCCCCCGCTTCCCATATTTTCCCACATTTTCCTGGAGATCGACGATTAATTGTGTCAGTGCCTTTTTTTCCGGCTGATCTTAGATCGTCCCAGGACGCTCTGTAAAAAAACACTTATCCTCGCCCTGTCCGAAGGGAGAGGGGGCAAGGGGCGGACGGGCCCGAGAACCCGGATCCTCACCGGCCTCTGCAGAGCAGCCTCGCGCCCTCTCGGTGGGGTCGGCGACCCGTCGGCGACGTCAGCGCGGAGGAAGTCGGGCTCCACATCGAGGTGCAACCCCGATGCGTCGGCAATGCGGCGCGATCCACCGACGCCATCCACAGCCGGCCCGTATCACAAGGATGCGCGATAAGGATGCAAAGGCCTTGGGGCGCCCATGTGTAAGCGTTTCGGGCGGTGCGCGGCCAACGAAAGTGTACCAAGAAGGACCGAGGAGGCACAAATGCATGGGTGCCCTTGGGAAGGTTGCCAATCTTTTTGATCGGCGGGGCGAGAGCGAACCCCTTCCGCTAGAAGCTAGGCGGGCTACGCACAGCTCTAATTGAGGAGACAAGGCAAAGGCGGGCGGGGCGTCAGGCGGCCGGAGAGGGCGGGGCCCGGGGTGCAGGCGGTGCCGAGGAGCTTGCACAGGAAAAGGTACGCCGTGGACACCAGCCTCAAGCGCTGCAGAGGAGGAGCCCCGTCCCCTGACAAGCGACGTCCTCTTTTTTCAATACGAGCTCCACGGAAGTCCCGGTCTTTTCCCCAGGACAGGTTCTTCATCCCGAATCGATTTTTGTTGGGCGCCCGAATTATCCGGGGTAACTCGGGTCCGGGGTAACTCGGGTTTGGATTCCGGAAAAAGAAACCCGAGTTAGCCCTGACCCGAGTTACCCCTGATGATTCGGGGCCCTGGACGCCCGAGTTATCCGGGGTAGCTCGGGTCCGGGCCAACTCGGGTTTGGATCCCCGAAAAACGAACCCGAGTTAGCCCTGACCCGAGTTACCCCTGATGATTCGGGGCTCTGATTTTGACGGCCCCGAGGCCCGGCGAGGGCCCCCCGAGGCCGACACTGGCCAAAAACCTCCCATCCTGATTTTTCAACGGCGCGATCATGGCTGGGCCTGGGATGAGGGGCCTGCTTTCCACCACCACCACCATAAGTTGGAGGGGGAGGGGGTCCTCCTCCTCCTCCTCCTCCTCCTCCTCCTCCTCCTCCTCCTCCTCCTCTTCGTCCTCCTCCTCTTCGTCCCCATCCCCCTTCCCCCCTCCAGTTTCTTCTGGTGGTGGTGGTGGAAGACGAACCCATCATTGGGAGGCCTAAAGAGGGGGCGGGCGGGCGGCCGGCTCCGACATCACGCCCGGGCCGGCCGCTGGCCCCTTCAGCAGGAGAACCTCGCGCCCTCTCGGTCGGAGGGCCTCCCCGCGGGCGCAGCGCGCCGAAGGCGCGGGGGGCTCTCCGAGGGAGGGGGGGGGCCGCGGCTGCGCGGGGCGCCTTCTGCGCGGGCGGCGTCGACTCGAAGAATTCCGTGGCGGCCAACCGCGTGGCCAGCGGGTCCCGCTGCAGGGGTCGTTCGGCCGTTCGCGCCGGGGCGCCCGGCTCCTCAAGTGAAGACGCTTGGGCACGCGCACGCGCCGATAATGCTGTCGGGGGGGGGGCCTGCGGGGCGGGGCGCTTCGAGGAGAGGCCCGCCCAGCTCGCGAGATGGCCTCCGAGGGGCCTCCCTCGAAGCCTGCCCTCAGGGGTGAAGAGCAGCTCTCGCGCCTCGCGCCCGCAAGGGCCTGGGCCTTGGGGGGAGGGGGACACGGCCGACCTTGCCGTCGCTCTTAGAGCAGTCCCCGAACGCTCTGAGAGCGTTCCGAACCCGCCAGAGCTGCCCAGCATGGCAACATCCTACCTGATCCCTATTCCAAGGCCTTCGCTGCGGGGTCGTCGTCGTCGTCGTCGTCGTCGTCGTCGTCGTCGTCGTCGTCGTCGTCGTCGTCGTCGGGGTCGTCCTCGTGCATGCCTCCTCCTCCACCTCCTCCTCCTCCTCCTCCTCCTCCTCCTCCTGCTCCTCCTCCTCCTCCTCCTCCTCCTCCTCTTCTTCTCACCATCTCGGGGGGGGGGGGGCATCCGCCTCGGGACACACAGACTCAAAGACTGCGGACCCACCCGTGCAAGCCGACACACGTGGCCCTCGTGGTGGACTCCCCCCCTGGGCGGGCCTTCGCGGGAGGGGGGGTGAGCGGTGGAAGATTGCCTTTGCAATGCTCACATACAACCGCTATTGTTTTCCACCACCACCTTGCATGCATGGGCCTGTCTTCAACCACCACCACCACAAGTTGGATGGGGAGAAGGAGGAGGACGAGGAGGAAAGGGAGGAGGAGAGGGAGGAGGAGAGGGAGAAGAGGGAGGAGGAGGAGGAGGAGGAGGAGGAAGAGAAGGAGGAGGAGGAGGAGGAGGAGGAGGACCCCCTCCCCCTCCAACTTATGGTGGTGGTGGTGGAAAACAAGCCCATCAACTGTGGGAGGGGAGGAGAAGGGAGCGACAACAGACGGCGGAAACGACGAAGGAGCTGCTACGGAAAACAGCAGGGATGCAGGAGGACTAGGGGAGGCTCTCCCCTACAGCCTACGTCTCCACACGATCGCCCCGGAGTGGGGGTCCAAGTGTGTACTGAGCCGTATGGACTGCCAGGGAGCCCAATGCAATTACAGACTCTCCGATTTCCCAAGCTGATGGATGCTGGTGCGTCTATACACCGATTCCCTGCAAAGAATTCCGTGGCCCTTTACGTTGCATGCTCAGGAGAGATTGTCTATCCCATCGCGCAGATAACCTTGAGCCCCAAGTATCACCCATGTTCGGTAAAACCACATCGCTTTTCGCCGTGTGAAATGACACCCCGCCCCTGGACCCCTCACTGCGGCATCACACCAAGGTCCTCTTAGGATTCCAACAGTCCCCCCGATCGGACTACAATAACCCCGTCAGATCCAAATCGGATCCCAATCGGATTCTGATACGGTTCAAAGAGGATCCGATGTGGATCGGATCTCAGCAGGACTCTACTATGGGACTCCCAGGTAGGAGTCCACCATGGGAATCCCCTGTCGGATTTTCTGCATAAGTGCTTCGCTGGTTTGTCGATGGTGCTTGCACCTATGAGTACCAACGTTTTTCGAGCGTATCTAATTGCTTGCGTTGCCGACCGCATTCAATAGTTTTTCTGGATTGCCTCAGAGTTGCGTCAGGGATTGAGACAGTTGGCGGGAGCTCGTGCCTACAAAGAGGCCGCCTTGAAACCTCTTCTTGGCTGTCCTACTCCTCTTTCCCCCCGAGCTGAAATATCTTATTTATACATCAGAGTGAGGGGGCCGAACGGTCAGTCATTGTCACTGCGCGCGTGACGGAATAAGGAATTCGTGGTGAGAATTCTGTTTGCTGCGTTGTTGTTGTTGTTGTTGTTGTTGTTGTTACTGATGTTGTTGTACTGTTGTTGTTGGTATTGTTATTACTGTTGTTGTTGGTGTATGCGTTGTTGTTGTTGTTGCTGTTGATGTTGCTGGTGCTGTTGCTGTTGTTGTTGTTGTTGTTGGTGTTGTTGTTTTTGTTGTTTTTGTTGTTTTTGTTGTTGTTGTTGTCGTCGTCCCACCAGCGACCAACCCCGCGACACACCCTGCGGCCCACCCGCGACCCACACGCGACCCACCAACGACCCACCCCGCGACCCACCCGCGACCCACGCGGTGACCCACCCGCGACCCACCCGCGACCCACCAGCGACCCACCCCGCGACCCACCCGCGACCCACCCCGCGACCGACCCTCAAGGGAGGAAAAACCACCCGGACCCGACAAGTGACGTTTACTAAATGGCCCTGGGCGTTGACTAAACAACCCTGCAATGTCCGATGTATTCCTTGTGTGCGTTTACAAAACGGCTTCGCTTGTCGGGGTGATTATTATGGGGTGGGTTTTCTGCCCTCTACACCCGCGACCCACCCGCGACCAATTTGCGACCCAACCGCGACCTACCCACATTGGTTTAACAGAAAAAAGGCGCCTGCGGCGGGCTCGCTTTAATAATTTGTGAAGCTTTGGCGCCTGCGGCGAACTTCTCCAGAGCCTCGCAAACTGCCGACGTCCCCACCGCCCCCTCACTCTTATCCGCATCTGCGGGGTGCTACGTACTTGTCGGTGCTGACGAGATCGTTAGGCCCTCCCTCGGGATTCAAGTTTTCCCGCGAGTCCGCGAATTGCTCCTCTTCACACATGCTCACATGCGAAACCTTGGCCCTGGCCGAACTGCTCAATTCCAATTAGAATCGGCAGATATCAGCAACAGTAAGCAAAATTGAGGGTCGAAGGGCACCAGCAATAACCGGCAGAGATGGGTGTCGAAAACAAGCAGAAAAGACACAACGCCCTCAAGAGGGCAACACTCGATATCAATACATCCTGGCCGCATCGCACGCACTCCCAGCACGCGCGCGTCACGCAACAATACTGGCGCTGTCTGCGCCGTCCGCTCTGTAGAATCTGAAATGCGCAATCCCCCTCTTCCCGCCGCGATTCCACATGACTGAGATGCCGGACCTTCCGAGGCGCCTTTTGCACGATTCTGCGAGCTCCCCTTGGCTTGCTATGTCCAGCTTGCGCTTCTTGAAGATCACATAACAAAAGATCAGGAAATGGGATGCCAGAGAAACGAAAAAAACAGCGTTGCGATGGTTTAAAACGAATCTGTGTTGAGGGCCTTTGGAGGCAGCTTGCCGTTTACAAACATAAGAACAACGACGGCGATGACCAGAAGCAAGGGGACGATCAAGATAAGGCGACGATAACTAGACGCCTGCTTCTCGTTCTCCTGCATGATGCTCTCGGCCTCGTTCTTGAACGCCTGCCAATCACCCGGCTGCACCCCCAGCCCGGCCAGCTCCGCGGGGACGGTGCCGCCGTCGTCGAGCGTGGGCGTCTGTGGACCGCAGTCGCAGCCACTTGTATCCACTGGGACGTCGCACAGGTGGCTTTCCAGCGCTCGCTGATGCTCTGCTATCAGCTCTTCGTAGTTCAGTCCTTGGATCTGCAGCATGGAGGTGCGGCGATGCGCACTTTCGGCCGAGCGCACGCAAGATGCTGACGAGACCTAGTTGGGCTGCTAACGGGCAACTTGATGGGTGCCCAGCGAGCCGGAAACTTCGACCGAACACTTGAAGGCAAAACAACTGGAATGGGCAAACAAGGCTTGAGCCAACAAGGATACGGAAACTGATCCATCAATTCGGCTTCTACTGGTCGCAACGGGGGAATCGATGATTAGGGTTCAAGGTTATCCGCGTCAAGTCCCACTCGAATTCACATCCAAAATCGAATCTGCATGGAACCCGCATCGAATGTGCGTCAAAACTACGCGAAATCCACCCAACATCCGAGTCGGATACGAAGAACGACCGCAATCTCCAGGACGGGCAGGGCACCGCCAAGATGCAACGCGAGGCCCCTGGCCAGCACGACGACGTGGTGTACACGTCGAGACCCCCTGAAGCAGAATCCACAAACAAAGAGCGAAACCAAAAACGAGCACACAGAACCAAAGATCGCAACAAAACGGTATGCCGATTTGTGCGTCTTGGGGTATCACTTGTGTATGCACTATTTGTCGGCGCAGGCACTGTTGCGTCATCATCGGGGAAATGTGAATCACCAATCACCACTTGTGCGTCACATGTTGCTGCGCTTTTGTTGCGCGTGCTCTTGATGCTTGTTGCGCTCGTTGCACCGCTTTCTGCTCTGAACAGCAACTGGCCAGACGAGCTCTTTTGAAGGGGCCCCAGGACACACAAATAAAAACACACAAATAAAAAGATTCCCCATATTTTCGTATATTTTCTGGGTTTTTGTCTTCCCCCCCGCTTCCCATCTGTTCCCATATTTTCTAGGGGATCGACGATTAATTGTGTCTGTGTTTTTTTCCCTCCTGACAGACGAGCTCTTCTTGGGCACCGGGAGACCCGAGCTGCTACGACCCCCGCCTCGGCTGCGCGCCAGGGCGACCCTTGACAACAGCGACCCTTGGCGCGTGGCTTGCCCGTCGTCGCGCGCGCGCGCCCGATGCGACCGCGGCGGTCTGCGTCCCTGGGGACGACTGAAGGGGCCCTGGGACACACATAAATACACACAAATACAAAGATTCTCCCAATCTTCCCATATTTTCTCCTGGGTTGTCGTCTCCCCCCCACACTGCCCATATTCTCCCATATTTTCTGGGGAGTCGACGATTAATTGTGTCTGTGTGTTTTTTCCCCTCCTGAGTGACCCCCCCCACCCACCCCACCCCGAAGGCAGCGTACCGGAGGCCCCTCGCTGGCGCCGCGCACACGGACGTACAGTAGGGGCCCTTCCACGAGAAGCCCTCCACAAGAGACCCAGCCCCGAGACACAAGGACGTCCATGGATTGTTGGTGTGGGAACATCGCCCTCATCGCAGAGCCATCGAACCCCACGAAACCCAGGGCACCCTGGAGGCAAGCCGGGTGTCTCTTGGCATGGGTCCCCACTGTATGGGGAGGGGGGAAGGCTCCTTAGAATTTGTTTGAAGGGGCCCTGGGACACACAAATAAATACACACAAATAAAAAGATTCCCCATATTTTCCCATATTTTCTCCTGGGTTTTCGTCTTCCCCCCCACTGCCCCTATCTTCCGATATCTTCTGGGGAATCGACGATTAACTGTGCATGTGTGTTTCTTCCCCTCCTGAGGACGGCTCCTTCGAATTTGTTCCCTCGAACCACACCCGAGAGCAACGATCAAAAGCGCGCCTTGCGCGAGAGGGTGCAGCGACCTTGCGCCGCGGCCTGCGCGGGCCGCCAGCGCGGCACGCTGCAGTGGAGACTTGGGGCGCTCACGCGCGACCTTACGCGGGCAGCTTACAGGGCAGTTGTTGTTCATACATGGGATGTTGAAAAATATCGGATGTTTGATACATGACTAATGTATGACTGTATGCATGAACTCATCGTTGTTTTTAGTACTAAATCCCTACATGTGCAATACATGATCCGCACGCGGAGCATGTGTAAAAAAAACTGTACGCGCCGATGTCGGTGCAGACGACCCAGTGTTTTGGCGTCGCTCACCTGATGGTGAAAACTGCATCTTCCCAACTGGTGGCACGATGACTCCACCTTGCAAGCAGAATCAGAGAAGGCGGTCGGGTCCGAGCCCCGAGCAGTGCCATGTGGTGGCCAGGCGCACCCGATCGTGTGACGACGAAGGCTTCTTCGAAGGAGGCTGCTTCTTAGAAAGGGGATGCTTCTTAGAAAGCGTCGGCCCTACATCTTTAGAGAAGGCCCGCGCCATCCACGAGACAGGGCTGCTTCTGAGAAGCCTTCCCCCAGCCCCATGTCCCCCTTCTGCGCGTGGCTGGACTCGGGCGAAGGGTCACTCTTGCGTGCAACCAGCGATCCTAGCCGTTTTTTGATGGTCCCGGGGCCGGGTGAGGACCCCTGGAGGCAGAAACCGACGTTAGCACAGACAGCATAGCGCCGAGGATACTTTCATGATACGGGACATGCCACACTCTCGGGTCACTGCTTGGGTCTCCGGCTGACCTTCGGGATAACCCGCCCACCCTCGGGACACGCTCTGCGAGGCACAGCTGCAGGAGAGCATCCCAAGGCTATTCAAAACCTCCCCAAACCGCCGAAAATCTTTAAGAACGACGCGAGAAGGCCGAAGCTAAGAGAAGCCGCCGCCTGCCGTGATGTTTCACTGCCAGGTGGCCCAGGATCGGCTCATGGGGGGAGAGAACACCGAGCAGGTATCGGCGATACATCGCCGACAGATCGGCGATGGGCCCCCAGCTCTGACAAATCCGCACGCTCCTGGGCGAGGTGGGCCATCGGGCCCCTTCTCGGCGAGGAATGGGCGAGCGGGGGTCGATGCGGTCCCCCCTGAGCCTGCCCCGCCCTGTCTGCGCTCTCCCCGGCCTTCGGGGCATGACTCGGGCACCCCCGAGACGCTCCCGAAGCGTTCGGGATGATTCTGGGGTGCTTCTGGCACCCCCGAAACAGTGTCCTCGTGGACTGACAGCCACGCCGCTGAACTGGTGTGAGAATGCTCGTGACGCGCCGGCATGGCGGAGATGGGAAGATGAGTTTTGCAGGATGCAGTAGAGTAGCGCCACGGTGCGTTTCCACCCCTCCCCGTAGTGGGACAGGCTCGCCTGATGCGGTGGTCCGTCCGTCCGTCCCGAAACAACGTCGACGAAGCGCAACTGATGGAAACCACCCCGGGCCCCGAACACTATATCGAAAAAACGGTCGGCGCGCAACCGTTGGAGAGGGGGGGGGGGAAAGGGAAGGGCAAGGACCACGCGAGCCCCCGCATGTCTCCAGACGCCAGCTGCCAACCGCACGCAGCCTCCCCCAGCCAGGCAGGCAGGCCCGCCGCAAAATCCCTGGACTCGGACAGCGGGGCAAATGCATGTGCGGCGCAATCGAGGCTGGAATCCTGCAGCAACGGCATCACGAGGAGAAGGGGGAGGGAACAAGAGACCAAGAGGAACGGAGGAGGGAAGAGAGTAGGCACGGAAGAGGACGTCAACTGTGGAACTGTGGATAAAGTAGCTGGGACCGCGAGGTGGCAATCCAAACAATGCGCTCCCTACCGCTGCCCCCGAAGGAATTCTGGCGGTGCGCACAAGGGCGTAGGGGGAAGAGGGCAGGCTCCTTCTAAGACGCATCCCCCCCTCCACCATACCTGCCGGTCGGAAGAAGTGGGTACGTAGCAGCATGGAGTAGGAAGGTGTTGGAAGCAGACCAGGCTTCCGCCCGCCCCCTCCGACCCTTGAAGTAGGAAAGCGCCTAACATAGACTGGGATCTGGGAGTCCAATAACCTTGAGATCCGACGCTGCAAAAAAAACAACATCGCACAAAATCACCACCGGAGCCCCGGACCCCACCTTTCTGCGTCATCTTTCCAGCCGGACCGATCTGTGAAGGTCCCGAGGCCCGAAACTGGGCGAAAATGCCCGTTGCGTAAAAACTGCAACGCGAGGCTCTCAGGGAATACCTACTTTCAATTACCCACGTGTACCGAGCAGGGACCGACCGTCCCGGCATTCCTGTAGGCCTACCACGACATGCCCTTAGAACCCACACATGTTCTAAGAACAAAAACAGTGTTCTCAGAACAGAAGCCCGATGAGTGAAAACAAGACAGCCAAAGCCAGAACTGCTCTTTTAGACCAGCTCGCGCAGACCAAAAAAGGTTCTCAGAGCATCCTTTGGTGGGCCTATAGTCGGGCGTTGGTTTAGTGAAACCCGGTTTAGTGATGTGCACTGGGGGACGCCCCCTCGCCCCGTTCCAGTAAAGGAGCTGCCGTCACCAGAAAACACCAGCAACGGCAGACCTGGTTTAGTGATTCTGGCGAATGCAAGAGCTCCGGGGCCCTACCACTAGCCGGGTCCCCTTACCTGGGGTCCTCGCTATACCCGGTATAGGCGAGCCGGGACGCTTCGCCACTGCTTGAATGCCTCCGTGTGCAGCCCGCGCTCTCGCGGTCTGGCTTCCGGGGCGCGGTACCCCGCGGAGGCGCCCCGCGCGGGGGGCAACCGCGGGGCCGCGGGGCCCCGCGGGGCCGCGGGGCCGCGGCCTGCAGGGGCCAGCCCACGCGGCCACGCGTACGGCAGGTTCGTGTCGTGACGACCCCGGCGTTGGTTTCTGACTCCGCGTGGATCGTTGAACCTTGAACGATCGGCGACTGTGGATCGCTCGATCGTTCCATATAGGCCGATCATGGGCCACTGGCGGCGTTCAACCTTGAACGCCCGCGGCGGGGTCGCCGCCGGTCGACACGACGCGAACCTACCGTACTCCGCTGCGCGTGGCCGGGGATTGTCCGCTGCACCGGCCCGCCCCGGCCTGCAGGGCACGCCGCGTAGCGCGGCGGGGTGGCCGCCGGCGCCGACCGCCTCGCGGCCACCTCGGCCAGCGCGGACCTGCGGGGGGCGTCGGCCTCGCGCGCGCGGGGGGCGGCAGCAGCGCGCCCAGGGGGGGGGGAGGCAAAGGGGGCCTCGCTCCCTGCTCCCTCCTACCCTCTCCTGCTCCTCTCCTCCTCCTCCTCCTCCTCCTCCTCCTCCTCCTCGCTCCTCCTCCTCCTCCTCCTCCTCTTCCTCCTCCTCCTCCTCTTCCTCCTCCTCCTCCTCCTCCTCCTCCTCCTCCTCCTCCTCCTCTCCTCCTCCTCCTCCTCCCCCTCCTCCTCCTATTGCTCTTCCTCCCCTCCGTATTCTTCTCCTCCTATGTCTTCTCCTCTTTCTCCCTTTTCGCCTCTTTCTCTTCCTCCTCCTCCTCCTCCTCCTCCTCCTCCTTATCCTCCTTCTCCTCCTCCTCCTCCTCCTCCTCCTCCTCCTCCTCTTCCTCCTAATCGTCCTCCTCGTCCTCATCGTCCACCTCGTCCTCCTCGTCCTCCTCCTTTCCTCCTCCTTTCCCTCCTCCTCCTCCTCCTCCAACTCCTCCTCCTTCCCCTCCTCCTCCTCCTCCTCCTCCTCCTCCACCTCCTCATCCCTCCTCCTCCTCCTCCTCCTCCTCCTCCTCCTCCTCCTCCTCCTCCTCCTCCTCCTCTCCTCCTCCTCCTCCTCCTCCTCCTCCTCCTCCTCCACCTCCTCTTCCTCCTCCTCCCCCCATCGGTTTTGGGGCATTTTCATGGGTTCGCGGCGGTGCCCCAAACTCGGGGTTGCTTTCCAGCAGCTGCGCCTCGCGGGGACCCCCCTTGGCAAGAACAAGTCACGGCGGAATGTTTGTTCTATTTTCAGCGCCTGGGGGCCCTTTCCAAGCCTCGGGGTCGTCAAGAGAAACGAACCAGGATGAAGACCCGACCCTCGAGAACGGGTCGAGACATCGGGTGCCGACGTCGTGGAAGAACCATGACGTCGGAGGCCTGGGGCGTGGGGAGGCTCAGGGGGCCTCTGGCGAAGGGCTCCGCCGGCCAGTCTGGCCTCGGCGCTGGCTGCATGCGACGCCCTGACGCCGCCGCGTCCAAAACACCAAGGCAGGGGGCCCCGCACGTCGGCCCCGCTCGGCGGCCGAGCTGGCGGCGGCGGCAGCAACGGCGACGACTGCCGCGACGGCGATCTGCGACGGCTGGCGACGGCCACGACGGCTGGCGTCCAGCGGCGGGCGGGCGGCGGCGGCGGCGGCTGCGACCGGCAACGTCGACGACGGCCACGGCGGCTCGTGACTGCGGGCGGCCACGACGGCTGGCGACCCGCGACCGCGGCGGCGGCGATGACGGCCACGGCTGGCGACTGGCGACTGGCGACGGCGGCGGCTGGCGGCGGCGGCGACGGTGGCGACGGCGAAGGGCCGGCGGCGACTGGCGAAGGCAGCGGCCACGACGGCTGGCGACTGGCGACGGCGGCGGTGGCGGCGATCCCAGCCTTGTACCGGGGCGCCGGGTCGCAGGGGCCGCGCAGCGCGGCGGCGCGCGCGCCGGCGGCTTCGCGGGAGCGCTCGCGCGCCAGCTCGCCGTGGATCCTCGTCGCGGGGGGAATGTGTTCTTCAGTCTTGGCCAGCGTGGACCCCGAGCAGGAAGTTCTTGGACCGTGGCTGCGTAAGCTACGTAGTACATGCTATGGTCTGCACGCTATGAGTAGGGGACAAAAAGTGGCATAAACATAAAAACTCGGAGGTCCGCGCGGATTCTCGGATCGGCGCTGGACCTCCCTCCCTGGCGCACGGAGCGCGCCCGGGGCGGCGCCGGAGGCGCCGCCGGGGGGCCCCAGCGCCCATCCGAGAAATCCGCGCGGACCTTTGAAGTTTTTTAATGTTTGTGCCACTCTTTGCTCCCTTTTAAAAAAAACGATAAACCTCTCCCGTCCTGATTTGTTCATTGCTCGATAGGGGGCCTGGGCTCGCGGCGCACCATCTTGGAGGCCTCTTGGGCGATCTTGGGGCGATCTTTGGAGGCTCTTGGGCCGTCTTGGGCGATCTTTGGGGGCGATCTTTGGGGGCGATCTTTGTGTTTATGTCACTTCTTGTTCCCCATAATGAGGTGCACGCGGGAGGCGGCCACGGGGCGACGCCTCGCCGGACCCACGCCGCGCACGGGGAGGCCACGCGGCGGCCACGGGCAGGAGCGTGGCGACGCCTGGCCACAGACCCGCCCGAGGCCATGGCAGGACGGGGAGGAGCACCCTGCGGGCCAGGAGGGGAGCCCCCGAGTGCACGGGCCTACGGCGGTGGAGAAAAACCTCCCTTTCGCAAACCTCCCCTCGGTGAGAACGGCCTGGAACCGAGACCGACGGACCTGGACCCGCAAAAAGTGACGGCCGCGACGGCCTCTCGCGAACCGAAAACGGCCAATTCCTTAAATCGACGCGTCGGGGCAGGAGGTCTGTCAACCTCCGAGGTATACGCAGGCAGGTGCTGGATCCCGCCCCCCCCAGAGCGAAAAAGGGTCGCTGCCAGACGGGGGGGGGAGTTGTTTCGCTTGGGAAATTCACGGCCTTACCACGTGAGCGGCACAACATACGGGCCGTGCGCGAGAAAGCATGCCAGACATGCTCGCGTGGTGAATAGATCACTGCAGTGTTTTGTTGCCTTTTTCGGCACCTGTGGGCCTTTACCAGATCCTGGGGCCATCAACAACCATTCTAGAACGAAAAACCCTCCCGAGGAAAGAGCTGCCGGGACTGCTGCGAACGAAAATTATCCTGGCGAAGGGCCCAACCATGTGCAGTTGTGAGTCGCCGTTGTGGGTATCGCCTTCGGCGGATCTCTTAATTGGGCCACGTAGCGTGCAAAGAGTGCGCCGACAGGTGGCTGGGACGCATGCGGGCGCAGCCATTGGGGCTTTCGGTGGCGCTCCATATGGGGCCACGAAACGTGTGGAGGGTGTGCCGTAATGGAGGGGGGCCACCATGCGAACCTCGCCACTGGGGCCTTCGGTGCAGATCCCTATTGGGCCACGAAGCGCAATACTGAGTGAGAGAGACGCATGCGAACAACGCCGCCAGGACCTTCGGTGGAGCTCCTTTTGCGGCGACGAAGCGTTGTACTGGGCGGGGGAGATGCATGCGAACACCGCCGTTGAAGCCTTCGGTGGAGCTCCTCATGGGCAAGGAAACGCTGAGTGGATGAAGGAGACGCATGCGGACTCCGCCACTGGAGCCTTCCGTGGAGCCCCCTATGAGGCCACGAATGCGCTGTGCTGGGTGGGGATAGCGCATGCGAGCAACGCCGCTAAGGCCTTCGGTGGAGGTCCCTATGGGGCCACGAAGCGCTGTGCTGGGTGGGGGAAACGCATGCGGACACCGCCACTGGGGCGTCGGTGGAGCTTCCTATGGGGCCACGAATGCGCCGTGCTGGGCGGGGGAAGCGCATGCGAACAACGCCGCTAAGGCCTTCGGTGGAGGTCCCTATGGGGCCACGAAGCGCTGTGCTGGGTGAGGGAAACGCATGCGGAGACCGCCACTGGGGCCTTCGGTGGAGCTCCTGTTGGGGCCACGACGCGAGGTGCTGGGTGTGGGAAGCGCATGTGGACACCGCCACCAGGGCCGACGACACGCTGCTCGACCTGGACCTCTACGCTGCCGGGGTCCAGAACACGCTGCCCTACTGCCCGCAGCCCCGGCGGCGCAGCCACGCTCGGCCCTTCTTGAGCATGAGGGCCCGGCTTGACCGACACGATTGGCAGGCTCAGCCTGCTGAAGTCCGCTGCCGCGCCTACAAGGATCTGATTCGCAGCGCCGTGTGCGGGACACCAGGCGAGCCCCTTCACCGCGGCTGCTGGCAGGCTGCGCTGCGTGCTCCTGGCGTGGTGGGCAGCCCGCTTCGCGCGACTGCCCTCCCAGGAGTGAGCACCCCTGGGGAGGGCGGCCAGGCGTCTGTGGAAGCCGATGCCCAGACCGCTGCACTCGCCGCCCCCCCCCCCCCCGAAGGAGGCAGACGCCGCCGCTGTCGGCCGCCTGGTGCATGGAGGCCGACACTTTGTGATTCGCGGGTCGAGAGCGCACCTCTTCCGGTCGAAGCTTAGCGGGCCGCGCGAAGCTTGAACTAACAAGGAGGGGGGGGGGAAGGGCAGCGCAGCCCCACGGCGAGGCCAACCATGGAGGCCTTAACGTGCCCCTGCAGGGCGAAGACGCGGGCCCTGCAGCGGGGGGCAGAGCCGCGGAGGCGGCCAACGGTGCGCACGGCCCCCGGGGCCCGGCCCCGCCCTCGCCGCCGGGTGCGCCGCCCACCCCGGCGGCGAGCTCGCCAGTCCGAACTGCCCTGAGCCCCCCTGTGGCGGCCGACGCTCAGCTGTCGCCTGGCCGGTCTGGGTCCCGGCCTTGGGCCCCTCCCTCCTGCCAGGGGACGGCCCTGGGGTGGGCGGGTCCGGAGGGGGGGCCAGAGCGGCTGCTCTCCGCAGGGCGGGCGCCTCGCTACCGTTAGGTCAGGGATTTTCGACGAACAATAGAAAATACCCCTAACAAAAATCAAAACATAATCCGAAAATAGTCTGGGGACTGAGTATTTCTTGACCTTCTTGGGGGATTTTTGGGGTAGTTTTTTGTTCGTCGAAAACCACCCTGTAGGGGGACACGCCCGACATAACGCTACCACCAACCCGCGCGACGACCCTGTGGCGCCCCTGGCACACCCGTGGCGATGGTTCCGGGCATCCCTACGGCAGGGGCTCGACCACACGAAACCTTCCACAAGACACCCCACCCTGAGACCTCGGGACGTCCGTCCATCTCCGGCGCGGGAGCGTCACGCTCTCCAGCGAGGCCCAGGGAAGCCCGGGCACCCTGGAGGCAGGCAGGGTGTTTCGTTGGCATGGGCCTCCCCCGTGACACGCCGGAGGGACCCCGCGACCCGAGCCCCCCCCCCCTTCCTGGGGACGGGCCCGGCGCCTGCGGGTCCGGCGGATGGAGCGGGGCGGCTGCCCACTCGAGTGCGGGCGGCCCACCCGCATGCCGTCCTGCGATCAGCGGCGCACCTGGAGACCCGGGTGCCCCTCGGCGCGCGGGGTTGCCCCCCCCTCCCCTCCCCCTCCTCCAGCTCCAGCTCCTCCTCCTCCTCCTCCTCCTCCTCCTCCTCCTCATCCTCCTCCTCCTCCTCCTCCTCCTCCTCCTCCTCCTCCCCTCCTCCTCCTCCTCCTCCTCCTCCTCCTCCAGCTCCAGCTCCTCCTCCTCCTCCCTCCTCCTCCTCCTCCTCCTCCTCCTCCTCCTCCCCATCCTCCTCCTCCTCCCCAACGGGCGACCCCGACGCAGAAGGGCGCAGTCGATCGGGTAGCGCACCCAGGCTCTCCAGAAGGACAAGCAGGGGGACTGGCTCGGGGGGGGGGGGCATCGACTTGGAATCGGCAATACATGGCCAAGAGATCGGCGAGAGGCCCCTGTCGGCCTGAGCTTATTATCCCGCCCTCACTCGACGGCGAGCGAGGGAGGGGCGAGAAGGAAGAGGCCTTCTCAGATGGCCTCGGGGCTTCTCAGGAGCCCTCCAGCCATCTGACATACTGCCTGCGACTCCGGAGAAGGCGCAGACACTCAGACACCCCGAGGCCTTCCGAGCCTTCTTGGCAGGCCCGCCCCTTCTGTTTCCCCCCTGGGCTCGCCACCGCCTGCCGGCCTGAGCTTGTGTCCCCCTCTCACGTCTCGAGCGCACGCCGGCATGGATCACCAGGGATCCGGAGATCTGGCGCGCGGGCGCCAGATCCATGGATCGGGGAAGGCGCCCCCGACACACGACGCCTCATTTTGGCAACGACGCGCGCCGATGCGTCACGGAAACGGGACCCGTCGCTAATCCACGTGCCTCAATCCCAGACCCCCGACGCCATGATTTGTTTCATAACGTCGACCCCAAAAATTCTCGACCCCTTTCCCGGGACCAGCTTCTCCTCCGTAGTCGTCCTTTGACGCCCCCGAGGTCCCGGTGAGGACCTCCAGAGGCCGAAGAGTCAGAAACACCTGCCGACATGATTTTTGTTCCATGGCCCGAGGGGGCCCGGGATCCCTGCCAAAAGCGTTCCCTCGAGAGGGAGGAGGAGGAGGCTGGGGAGGAGAAGGAGGAGGAGGAGGAGGAGAAGGAGGAGGAGGAGGAGGAGGAGGAGGAGGAGGCCGCCCACCAGCCCCCCGAGCAGCGGCCCTCCTCCAGAAGTCGCCGCCCGCCGGCGGCTCCCCCGCCCGCGGCGCCCGATCCCGCCGGGCCGCCGAGGGCGCGGCTGGCCGCCTGGCCCGCGCGGGTCGCCGTCGCCGTCGCCGTCGTCGCCGTGGTCGTCGTCGTCGTCGTCGTGGTCGACGTCGTCGTCGTCGTCGTCGTCGTCGTCGTCGTCGTCGTCGTCGTCGTCGTCGATGCGGTCGTGGTCGTCGTCGTCGTCGTCGAGGTCGTCGTCGAAGTCGTCGTCGTCGTCGTCGTCGTCGTCGTCGTCGTCGTCGAGGTCGTCGAGGTCGTCGTCGTCGTCTTCGGCGCCGTCGACGTGGTGGTTCTCATCGTCGTTGTGGTCGTTGTCGTCGTCATCGTCGTCGTCTTCGTCTGCATCGGCGTCGCCGTCGTCTTCGCCGTCGGCAAATACTCACTACTAGTTCAAGAAACAAGTATAGACGGAGTGCAATGCCTGCCCGCAAACGACACTTTGGGAAAACATGATGGTCCCCAACCGCGTTCGCACGTCTACTCCGTGCGGGAGAACACGGCGCTGATAACAGACAGGGGGGGTGTACCAGGTGGTGTACAGCATCGCTTGTAATGAGCCCACTGGAGGCCCGCGTTCCTACGTCTCGGGAGGTCCGCGGGCCCACGTCTCGAACAACAAAAAAAACAGGACGTCGGATGTCTGGGGGGGGGAGGGCAGAAGGCGGGGCGCGGATGGCGTATGCGCAGCCCTCGTCTCGAACAAGAAAGTCGGGAAGTGGGATGTCTGGGGGGGGGGGCGGGCAGAAGGCGGGGCGCGGATGGCGTATGCGGAGCCCACGTCTCGCACAAAGAAGTCGGGATGTCGGATGTCTGGGGGGGGGGGGGGCACAAGGCGGGGCGCGGATGGCGCATGCTGAGGCGGCAGGAATGACGGAGGCGGCGCTGGGGAGGCGGAGGCAGAGGCGCAGCAGGCGGGAGGCAAGAGCAGGGAGGAGGACGCCGGCAGGAGGCAGGGGAAGGGGGGCGGGAGGAGGGAGGAGCCAGTGGTCCGACGTTGCGCGCGGCGTCGCGGGGCTCAAAGCTGCGAGGATGTCTCGGGCGAAACGGGCTGAGCAACCTCGCGCTCGGAGCTGAGACTTGCGAGGATGTGCCCGGCGGCGCCTCCCCGAGCATACCTCGACAACAGAGGGCTAATCAAGTGGTTCATTTGGGTCCGACCTCTCGTCCCTGCTCCCACCTGCCTCCTCTCTCGGAGCTCAGAGTTGCGAGGCTGACTCACGCGACACAGACCGAAGCAAGCTCGCGCGCGGCATCTCGGAGCTCAGAATTGCGGGGATGTCTCGGGCGAAAACGCGCCGGACCGCCTCCAACGCGAATCTGGGAGCCTAGAACTGCGAAGGTGTCTCATGCGAAACGCGCCAGATCACCTCGCGCACGGCATCTCGGAGCTCAGAATTGCGGGGATGTCTCATGCGAAACGCGCCAAGCCACCTCTCGCGAAGCATCTCCGAGCTCAGAACTGTCAAGCGAAACGCGCCGGACCAACTCGCGCGCAGCATCTCGGAGCTCAGAGTTGCGAGGATGTTTCAGGCCAAACGCGCAGGACCACCTCGCGCACGGCATCTCGGAGCTCAGAGGTGCGAGGATGTCTCAGGCCAATCGCGCCAAACCACCTCGCGCGTGGCATCTCGCAACTCAGTCGGCAGGACGTTTCAGGCGAAACGCGCCAGACCACTTCGCGAGCGGCATCTCGGAGCTCAGTATTGCGGGGATGTCTCAAGCGAAGCGCAACAGGCCACTGGACCTCTCGCAAGGAAGCTCGGAGCCCAGAGTTCTGAGGATGTCTCATGCGAAAAACGCCGGAGCACCTGTGCCGCGGCAGCTCGGATCCCAGAGTTATGAAGACGTCTGAAGCGAAACGAGGCAGACCAAGTCGCGCGCGGCATCTCGGAGCTCAGAATCGCGAGGATTTTTAAACGAAACGCGCAATCCCGTCCAGCTCAGAAACGAGAGTTGTGAGGATGTCTCGAGCGGAACGGCCTGGACTACAAAATGTTCTTGAGGATGTCTCTGCTGGCCCGTCCCCCGACCGGAACCAGCTGACCACAGCAACACCCCGTTCAGCAGGCTGCTTGGGAAAATACGGCTGCTCTATGGAAAATATTGCTGTACGGGCGCTCTCGCCCCAACGAAAGCTGCACTGTCCGTGAAACGGAGGCTCCCGCGCGGGCGCGGCAATGCGGCCCGTGGCAAGGCGAGCTACGACGACAGCGGCCCCCGCTCGATGCTTCCCTGTGCTTTTGCCCCAAGACGCCCTGGCCTGAGGGGCCTCCGAACTCGGAAACGGCGCTCGCTCGACACATCCTCGCAAGTTGATCAAGTTTGTGATGGCTCCGGCTGTGACGACAGCGGCTCTAGCTAAACACTTCTTCGTATAATGTACCCCACGATGCCGTGGCAAGAGAGACCTACGAACTCAGGAACGGTGCTGTCGCTGGAGAGTTCTTCGAAAGTCACTCGAGTTGGTGAAGGCCCAGCTGCGTCGACAGCGGCGCCCGCTCGACACGTCCTCATACATTTCCCCGAGACGCCCTGGCCAGAGGCGAGGCGAGGCGAGGCGACTCCCAGTTCGCCCGTGAGGGCGGCCGCGCGCGGGGCTGGGAGTGGGCGCCAGGGCGCCGCTCATTCAGTCAAGGGTAGACCTGGCCAGAGAGACCCCGGAACGGAGGGGAGACGCTCTCGCCCGAGACTTCCTCACAACTGAATCCGATTGGTGAGTTGCCCCTCGGGCGCGTTAGCTCGCATCACGGCCATGGCGGCGCGGTGCACATGCAGAGTCCCCTGCTGAATGCTTCTCCCAGGAGCTGGGATGAAATGAACCCCCCTTGATACAGAGTCCACTGCTGAATGCTTCTCCCAGGAGCTGGGATGAAGTGAACCCCCCTTGTAAAAAGCTTCCTGCCCCCGGCCCAGGCGCGGTGGCAGAATTGGCCGTTGGCCATCCGACAGAGCCCTGAGGACTCCTGAGGAAGCCTATGAAAACCGATACGCGTAAAACGATCATAAAAGGGACACGCCAGAAGGCGTGGTGATTCCGAGAGAACGTGACCCCTGCTCCCCCCTCTCCTCCCGACGACAACGAGGACTAGGACGACATTGCGTCTGGAGGCCCACAAGAGAACTGAAAGCCATAAGAACATCTTTTTGGTGAGGTGGTAAACTGCAACGGTTTCAGAGCATCGACTTAGCATTTGGGCCAGGATCGGTCGGCGTCGAATCGGGAAACCGGATCGCATCGCAATGCGCGACGGATCAAGCTGCACCGGCGCAGAGCCAGAGTCGGATTGGATCGGTCACGCCAGGGTTGCACAACACCGCCAAGCGAACAGCGGGTCACGTCTGATCGTCGGAACATCGGAGTCGAATTATATAGGACTGATCTCGTTACGATATTCTGACAATATCCGAAAGCCTCAGGGAGGCACCAACCTCCGAGAGGGGACCTGCGGAAATCTTCAGAATCAGCCCATAATCAACAACAACATCAGCAACAACAACAGTCACTTCAAACGGTTCGCTCCTGTCTGCTCGCGTGCCAATCAATAATAGGTGTATCCCAAACCCTCGGTACCCGCCCCCGTCAACTTCGATCGTACCCCCTTGGGGGTATGTCTTCCTTACCTGCCTCGCGCATTTAGTGCAGCCCCTACAAGAAGGGAAGAGAAGACGTGTGGAAGGGAGAGGGAGAAGATTGGAGCACGAGAGAACTTAGCAGGAGGGGGGTTAGGAGCAGAAAACAAGTGGTAGAACCGGATGGGCAGAATCGGGTGGGCAGACCCATAGCGGGCAGGTCGGGAAGGCGGGCCCAGGCGACCAGGTCGAGCAGGCGGGTTGCTGAAGCGTCCTACATGAATCGCTAAAGTCTCGAGCGATAGCGCGATTCCCAAGTGAATCGTGAGAAAAGCCAGAACCAGAGCGTGATTCCTGAGCGCCGAGGGCGCATCGTCTGAATAAATTGCAAGGAAGTCCCATGCGAGAGCGCGACTCGTATACAAATGTTGAGGACGTCCCGCGCGAGAGCGCGACTTAGGAATACATTGGGAGGAATTACCAGGCGGGAGCCGTTGTTGTCGTAACTCGGGGGGCATGGATCCAGTTTGAGCCTGGTGACTCTCCCTGATGGAAAAAACAGGGTGCGAACCCTGATGGAGAAGCACTTCAATTGAGAAGTACAATGGTCACCAGAGAGGGGGGATCAACGAGAGTGTCCCTTCAGTATAGAGAATTCAACCAAACAAAAACAACGGCAACAACGACATCACTAACATCAACAACAACAACAACAACAACAACAACTACAACAAGTACAACTACAACAACAGCAACAACCATTAGATCAAAAACAGCACCACCATCAACAACCATAGCAACACACCTCTTAAGACTGTTCGCTCTGATCTGATCCCGGGCCACTCAACACGTATATCCCCAACCCTCGATACCCGCCCTCTTAGTCTTCGATCGTACCCCATTGGGGGTATACATCTGTCTTGTCTGCAGTGTTTTTTTCGTGCATCCCCTAAGGCAGGGAAAAGGAGAACGGATGGAAGGCATTGACCAGGGTCAGGGAGGAGGATGGAGCACGGGAGTAGCAAGAGGGGGGCTAGGAGCAGAAGACACGTGGCAGAACCAGACGGACGGGTAGATCCTAGCAGGCGGGTCGGGAAGGCGGGCCCAGGCGGCCAGGTCGAGCAAGCGGCTTGCAAGCGTGATTGCTGCATGAATCGCGAGGAAATCTCGAGAGATAGCTCGATTCTCAAATACATCGCGTGCAAATCCACAGCGAGAGCGTGATTCCTGAGTATCGAGGTCGCGTCGTCTGAATCAATGGCGAGGAGGTCCCACGCGAGAGCGCGATTCCTGTATACATTTTGAGGACGTCCCGCGCGAGAGCGCGATTTGGGATACATTCTAAAGAACTATCAAGCGGGAGCCGTTGTTGTCGTAACTCGGGGGGCACGGGCCTAGTTTGGTGACCCCACGCTTCCCCTTGCACAGGACAGGATGCGAGCCCAGGGAGAAGCACCTTAGTTTAACAAAATACGATGTCCCCCGGAGGGGGGATCAACAAAAACTTCTTCTGTAGGACTGAGAACTCAACGGTAACAATCATTTCAAGACTGATCGTTTCTACCTGAGCGCGCGCCACTCAACATGCATGTCGCAAAACCTCGGTGCCCGTTCTCTCAGTCTTCGATTGTACCCTCTTGGGATATATCGACCGTACCTGCCACGTGCATGTAGCGCAGTCCCTAAAACAGCAGAGGAGAGGACGGATGGAAATGGCAGGGAGAAGGATGGAGCACGAGAGAAATTAACAAGAGAGTGGGCTAGGAGCAGAAAACACGTGGCATAATTAGACGGGCGGATCGGGCGGGCAGACCCTCGCAAGCGGGTCGGGAAGGCGGGCCCAGGCGGCGAGGTCGAGAGAACGGGTTGCTGAAGCGTGAGTCCTGCATGACTCCCGACAAGTCTCGAGTGATAGAGCGACTACTAAATAAATCGTGAGGAAGGCCAGAGCGAGAGCGAGACTCCTGAATGTCGAAATCGCGGCGCCTCAGTAAATTGCAAGGATGTGCCACGCGAGAGCGCGATTCCTGCATAACATTGTGAAGAAATCCTGCGCGAGAGCGCGATTTTGGAATACATTGTGAGGAAGAATCAGGCGGGAGCCGTTGGTGTTGTAGTTCGGGGCCCAACAATCCAGTTTGAGCAGGAAGACTTTCTTTGATAAAACGGTGCGAGCCCCGAGGGGAGCACTTCAATTGAAAAACGCAGAGGGGGGATCAACTATCATTCAGTTTCAGGAGTGAGGGTTCAACACCGCTAGGCTAAGGCTTAGCTAGACTATCAGCAATCAGCTTAAGACTGCTAGCTCTCACCTGATCGCGTGCCATTCAACACGTCTGTCCCAAACCTTCGATGCACGCACTCTTCGTCCTCGAACGTGTCCCCTCTGGGGGTATTGTCTTCCTTACCTGCCGCGTGTAATTGGTACAGCCCCTGAAATATCGGGAGCGGCCAAGAGGGGGGTGTCCAAGAGGGGGGGTGCAAATCATGACCGGCGGCATGTGCGCGGCCCAACGGGGGGGCCAGGGACGTAATGAAATAAGACGAGGCGCCATGAAATCTGGGGAAATATCATGGACCACGCCATGATATCCACCCCCCCTAGTCATCACCCCCCTCTGTGCCGCCCCCGAAAATAGGGGAAGAGAGGACGGATGGAAGGGGGAGGGAAAGGGATGGAGCACGGGATTGGCAGGAGGGGGACCTGGGAGCAGAAGGCACGCGGCAGAGCCAGAGAGGCAGATCGGGCGGGCAGACCCTACCGGGCGGGTCTACAAGGCTGGCCCACGCGGCCGGGTGGAGCAGGCGGCTTGCTCAAGCGCGAGCACTGCAAGAATCGCGGCGCGATCATGATTCCCAAGTGAATCGCGAGAAAAACCGTAGCGAGAACGCGATTCCTGAGCGTCGAAGGCGCGACGTTCGAGTAAGTCGTGAGGAAGCCCAACGCGAGAGCCTGATTCCTGCATACATTCTGAGAAGTCCTGCGCGAGAGCGCGATGTCTCCATACATTGTAAAGAACTATCGGGGCGGGAGCCGTTGTTCTTGTAAACTGGGAGCCCGGGGCACAGCTCGTTGACCCCACACTTTTAATCAAAAAAGGGTGCGAGACCCGGGAGGAGCACCCGAGTTCAAAAACAGAATGGTCGCTGGGCAGGGGGATCAACAATAACAATGGTCATTCACATGTCTGGAACTGACACTTTAGCAGCAACAGCAACAGCGGCAACAATCGTTTAACGACTGTTTTTTGTCCCATGCCCGCGTGCAATTCTACACGTGTACCCCGTGGTGCCCGCCTTCTTTGTCTTCGATGGTGCCCCCTCTGGGAAACATATCTTCCCTACCTGCCGCGTGTAGTTGGCGAAGCCCCTGAAACAAGGCAGGAAGGGGAGGAGTGAAGAGACAAGGGGGGAGGGAGAGCACGAGAACATATTGCAGGAAGCTTTGGAGCAGGAGCACAAGCGGCAGAACCAAGCTGGCGCGTCTGGTGGGCGGACCCAAACGGGCAGGTCGGGCGGGCGGGCCCAGACGGCCTGGTCGAGCGCGCGGGTCGCTAAAGCGTCGCCCCATCACGAAGGAAGTTGCGAGCGACAACGCGATCCCCAAGTAAATCGTCGAGACGTCCAAAGAGAGCGTGATGATGTGACTCCTGGGGACACGGCGCCACAAGACTCTGTGAGGAACTGCCACGCAGGAGCGCGATCCCTTGACACAGTAGGAGGAGTCCTGCGCGCGAGCGCGAACTTGAAGCAATGTGTAAGGGCATAGCAAGCGAGAGCCGCTGTGATTGTGAACCCAGAGACCAGCGACACAGCCTGGTGCCCACAAGCTTTCCCTGATAAGCAAGCACCGTGCGAGCCCCAGGAGGAGCACTGCAATTGAAAAGTACAGGGGTCACCGATAGGTTCGACAGATCAACGCATGAGCGTCAACGGCAACAAGAACAACAACAAAAACAAAAAACAATAGAAATAGCAACAACACCAAGAACAACAGCAGCAACAACATCAACAGCAACAACGACCACGACGACGACGGCGGCGGCGGCGACGACAACAACAAGAACGGCGGCCGCAGCGACGGCGGCGAACACGGCGGCGAACACGGCGACGACGACGACGACGACGACGCCGACGACGACGGCGGCGGCGGCCCGCACGCGCGGGGCCACCCCGCCCGGTCGCTGGCGGCGCTCTCCAGGTCCGTGGAGGCCACCACGGTGGGGTAGCACGAGACAACCTGGTGGGAAGGACGGGGGCCAGGAGCGGCGCCCGCAGGCGGCGGAGGAGGAGGAGGAGGAGGAGGAGGAGGAGGAGGAGGAGGAGGAGGAGGGGGGGGGAGGAGGGGGAGGGGGAGGACGGGGGAGGAGGAGGAGGAGGAGGAGGAGGAGGAGGAGGAGGAGGAGGAGGAGGAGGGGAGGAGGAGGGAGGAGGAGGAGGAGGAGAGGAGGAGGAGAGGAGGAGGAGGAGGAGGAGGAGAAAGGAGGAGAAAAGAGGAGGAGGAGGAGGAGGAGGAGGAGAGGGAGGAGGAGGGGAGGAGGAGAGGAGGAGGAGGGAGGAGGAGGAGGAGGAGGAGGGGGAGGGAAAGGAGGAGGGGCGCCAGTACCTCCGGTGCCCACGGGTTTCTGGGCACTCAACGCCTCGTGGGTGTCAGCCAAGGGTAGGGCATAGCCGATCCCAACGGAGGCGGATTAATCGAGCAAGCGCTTGGAATGTTGCTGCGGCAAAATGAACGAGCGCTAGTCTTGATGCGAAACCATTTTCTTAGCAATGTGGTTTTTTTATATGTGTATGGTAAACCTGCGGTTCAAATTGTATTGTCCAGGGTGAGGTCAAGGAGGACGAGGAAGACGAGGAGGAAGAGGATGAAGCGATTTGCGTTTCCCATCGGCGGTTTTTCATAGATTTCGGTTTCGGCCCGCTGGGGCTGTTTTCGGGGCCTGGGACCACCAATCACGGATCTAGGGTGGAGAACTTCCCTCGGACAATGGGGTGGGACGCTTTGGAAAGCTGGGAGCGAGAGGCGGAAACGGGGAGGAGGAGCTAAGGTACATAGGGTAGTGCCGCTCGGGGGTCTCAAGTCCTACAACATGTACGCGAGAAAAAATAGCCCCTGCGTGGGCGGGTATGGACGAAGGACCCTCAACAATAAAGGGGCCCTGGGACACACAAATAAACACACACAAATTAAAGGTTTCCCCATGTGTTCCCATATATTCGAGATTTTCGTCTTCCCCCCCATTTCCCATATTGTCCTACATTTTCTTGGGTATCGACGATTCATTGTGTCTCTGTGTTTCTCTCCCCTCCTGAAGCATGGGCGCGAGACAAACATGGCCTCTGCGTGGGCGGATATGGACGAAAGACCCTCGACAAAACGAACTGGCCGCATGCCTTGAGCAGGGACCCACCGTCCCTGCATTTCTATAATCCTACCACGAAATGTTCTTAGAACCCAAAAATGTTCTAAGAACAAAAACAATGCTCTTAGAACATCAACCCGATATGTTAAAACAAAACAGTCCCAGCCAGAAATGTTCTAAACACATTTCGTGAAAACCACAAAAAGGTTCTTAGAACATTGCTTGGTGGGACTATCATGGACACGCCAGGACGCTTCGCCACTGCTTGAGACTGCCTGGAACTGCGGGGCCCGGCAGCCTGTCCGCCAAGGGCGCCGGCAGAGGGGACGCTCCCACGCCCAGCGGCGCGCGCCGCAGGAAGGGCAGAAAAAAGGAGGGGGCCACAGGCCCTCGGACGGCGCGCGCCCCCTTCCCGGGAGACGTGCACCTGGGCGGGCCTCGGCTGCTAGAGTAGCTTTGAGTCGGGCGTGTCCCCCTACAGGGGGATTTTTGGGCGAAACATAAAAAATACTTCAAAAATGCCCCCCCCCCCAAGGGCAAAAATAGTCAAAACATCGTCCCAAAACTATTTTTTGACTATTCTTTAATATCCCCCCTGTAGAGGGACAGGCCCGACTTGAGAGTAGCTGCTGCGATCTGCCCGACGTTTACACCCACAGCGGGGGCCCGACCCGACCACAACAAAAACCTTCCAAAAGAAACCCAGCCCTGAGACCCCAGGACGTCCATGGCTTTCTGGCGCTGGAGCGTCACGCGTTCCATGGCAGAACCACTGAAGCCCAAGAAGCCCAGGGCACCCTGGAGGCAAGCAGGGTGTTTCTTGGCATGGGCCCCCGCTGGACTCGGGCCGGGGGAAAGGGGGGATAGCAAAGGGGGGGCTGAGAATCAGCTCACGTAGCTGATTTTCCTGGCGCCTCCCGGCGCCGGAGGCGGCCATGTATCGAGGACTGGGCCCCTCGGTGGGGCCGAAACCACCTGCACGCAGCAAATGTCGCACCCCCCCTTTCCCAATCCCCCCCTTTCGTCCGGCCCGATGCACGACTCCTACAGGGCAGTTTCTAATACATAGGATGCGTAAACATATATGACTTTAAATACATGATTCATGCATGAATGAAGTTATGCATGAACTCCTCGTTGTTTTTAGTGCTAAATCCCTGCATGTTTAACACATGATCCGCACGCGGAACATGTATTAAAAACGGCACTCTAGTATCCCGAACGCCGACGTGCTGCCGCACGCCGGGTCGGTGCTTGGCTCCTGCTGGAGACGAGCCGTCGGAGGGGGCGCGGGCGGGAGAAGCGGCCGACGGCGGCGCCGGGCTCCCGCTGAGAACGGATCGTCGGGGCGGGCGCGGGTGGGAGGAGGGGCGGGCTGCAGCGCCTCGTGCTCGGCTCTCGTGATTTTCCCCAAAAACACAGCAACGACGACAACAGCAGCAACAACAACAGCAACAGCAGCAGCAACAACAGCAACAACAGCAGCAACAACAACAGCAACAGCAACAGCAGCAACAACAGCAGCAACAGCAACAGCAACAACAACAACAGCAACAGCAACAGCAACAGCAACAGCAACAGCAACAGCAACAGCAACAACAACAACAACAACAACAACAACAACAACAACAACAACAACAATTACTAGCACGTGGGGACACACAGTTCTCACCAGTGCCAGGGTTTTCATAGGAGGCGGGCAATACCCCCACTTTGTGGGGGGGCCGGTTCAAGCTCTACCAAATTTCCAAACGACTCTTCGCCACCACCCACACCCAGCTTCCCGCCCTATGACGTTCGGACACTTCACTTCGTGGCATGCGGACGACCGTGGCTACTATTCAGGGCCCCGCGGCCGACGACGACGGCGTGCGCGCGCGAAGAAAAAACGAATGTGTCCCGCATGGTATTATTTGACAGGGATGATGGCCCTGGCAGGTGCGCAACCGTTGTTGCAGAAGTTCGAAAAAGTTGCTCGCAAAAGCCCGTTTGACAGAAATGATTAAAAAGTGTTGGGTTTCCTACGAATCCGCAAGAGCGCGCGGGATGAAATTTTGACATTTTTTTTTTTTTGAAAAACCATTGGTTTTTTGATGTTTTTATGTTAAAATCGCTACGAAAACTAAGGTTTTGGAAGGATTTCGTCTTGCGCGCGCGAATGTCCACTTTACCTTATTTTTTGCAAGGGATTCTTGAAGTTTGGTTATGTTAGAACAAGAAATGTCCACTTTAGCTTATTTCTTGCAAGGGAAAGCGGGCGTCAACAAAACAACCGGATCTGGATCACATCGTTTTGCATGAGACTTCCTCACGAAAATGATGAACATGTGGCTGCGGCCTAGGCGCGGCGGGGGGGGCGCGCACCAGGGGTCCCAACAATAATTATTCTTTAGAAGAAATAATGTTCAACAACAACAACAACAACATCACCACCACCAACAGCAACAACAACAAGAGCAGCAACAACAAAACCCACCACCACCACCACCACCAACAACAACAACAACAACAACAACAAAAGCTGGGGCCGCCGCGCGCGGCATCATCTCTGCCCCCATCTGATCCCCTGAGGCCCTCCTGTGATTTCTTCTCCGCCCGGGCCGAGTACCCCAAGCAACTCTGCAAGCTCGCCCTGGGAAGTTGACTTGCCACCAACACGAGCTGCAACTAGCGTAGTTGGGAACGCTCTGTATTCGAGATCTTTCGTATCCTGGCACGTGTGAGCAATCTGTCTCCGTGCAAACAAGATATCGAGCTTCTGCTCCTGCAAACGGCGCCATCTGCACCGCGCGTGCTGTCTCTGGTCGTGCAAAATCTGCCCTGTAGCGTTGAATACTTCACTGGGCACAGCCGCAGCCTTAATTTCCGGGTCCTGGGCTGCGTGTGCTTCCTCTACCTAACCCCCAGCTTCCCAAGATATCAATATAATTCTCGCCGCGGGTCCCGACATGCGCATAGTCCCCTTCCTCCAGGGTGGTCCCTGTTTGCGGCGCCCTGAACCTCCACCGCCACGCACCGTCTGGACTCGGGTTGGAAAGATGGGCTCTGGGAGAACCACTCAGTGGGACATACAAAATGGGCGTAGGGGCTCTTTTGACGCCATTACGTTTGGTCCCTTTGATGAGACCGTGGGCGCCTCATCGCATTCGCTGTCGTAGTAGCCGTAGTAATGGCCCATCATCAATATTGTGACAGCGGATCCTTCGCACACTGTCCCCTAATAGTTCTCGCACCGTCGGATGCCCCCCCTTCTCCTGGTCATTGATGGAGCCCCCATCAATTTCGTCGGCAACCCGTCGCTGCTTACCGTTATCTTGGGGCCGCTGACAGGTAGGAACCATCGGACCCCCTTCCGCGATCTTGCTCTTCTGAGCCCTCCAGGTCGATGTCCTGCGAGGCGGAAGAGGGGCGTTCGGGGCCCCCTTCTGAAGCTCTGACTGCTTCCCGCACGGTGCAGGCCCTGCGCCTACTGCTTGCCCTTGCCCGCGCTCTGCGTGGCGCCCTCAACGTCCTCCTTCTCCTCTGGCCTGCTCTGCTGCCCGACATGCTCGATGATGTGCTTCGCGACGTGCGCGCTCTGCGCCGGCGCGCCCTCCTCGCTGTCGCCCTCGCACATTACCCCTTGGAGACCCCACCTCGCTCGCGGACGCTTCTCGTAAGTATGGCTCTGCGGGTTGACCATGCAGTGCTCGCGCAGCGTCTCCTGGATCTCTGCGATCTCGATGCTCTTCTCGTCGTCCTTGATCGCGTCCGTCCACTTGCGGCTGTTTCAGTCGAAGGCGTTCCACATGTCTGAATGTTCGGGTCGAACGCTGCCCAGATCTCCGCGAAGCCCATTTTCTCTTTTTCCTTCTTGGTTATTCGTGCGCCGCCCAGC